GAGGAGGAGGAGGAGGAGGAGGAGGGGATGAAGGAGGAGCCCCGCCCCGAGGCGCCCGCGCTGCGCCGCTGCGGCGTGGCTGGCGCCGCTCTGGAGCTGGCCGCGCAGGCCGCGGGCGAGGCTTCCGCTGGCGCACGCGGCGCCGCTACGTCGCCGGCCGCGGGCTGCGGCAAGTCCGCGGCCGCGTCCCGATCGGGCGCCGCTCCGGGCTCGCACCGCGGGGCCGCCGCGCGGGAGGGCTCGCCATGTGGAGGCCCAGCGACCTCGTCGCCTCCTCCTCCTCCTCCATCGCCTCCTCCTCCTCCTCCTCGTCCTCGTCCTCGCCCCCGTCCTCGTCCTCGTCCTCGTCCTCGTCTCGTTCCTCGTCCTCGTCCTCGTCCTCGTCCTCGTCCTCGTTCTCGTCCTCCTCCTCCTCCTCCTCCTCCTCCTTCTCCTCCTCCTCCTCCTCCTCCTCCTCCATGGCTTTTCCTTACATATTACTCCTTCCTGTCGCACCCCGAGGCCGGTCCAAAGGGCGGGCCCGGCGTTTCGCCTGAGAAATGGAGGGCGTGTCGCTTACAGAATGCGGCTCTCGCCTCAGCGCCGCGCGCATTCTTTTAAACAATTGCAAAGGCTTCACGGATTGAGGGCGGGTCGTTTTCAAAATGTGGCTCTCGCCATAGCGCCGCGCACATTCATTTTAAACATTCGCAAGAGCTTCGCAGATGAAAGGCGGGTGTTCAAAATGTGGTTCTCGCCTTGGCGCCGCGCACGTTCGTTGCACAAAACTGCAAAGGTCTTCGCATTTTGAGGGTCGGGGGTAGTGAAATGTTCAAAACATGGGTCTCGGCGTAGCGCCGCGCACACTCGCCGAACGGTCAAAATGCTATTCTCGTCTCAGCACCACGCGCATTCGTGTTAAGACATGTGCAACGCTTTGCGGATTGAGGGCGGTGGTGTTCAAAATGTGGCTCTCGCCTTAGCGCCGCGCGCATGTGATCCAAACATTTGCAGGAGCTTCACGGATTGATGGCGGCTCCTTTTAATTATGTAGTTCTCGCCTTAGCGCCGCGCGCATTCCTTTTAAACGTTTGCAAGCATTTCACAGATTCTCATGGGTACCACACCAGAAGCAGTGCTTCGGAACGGTGCAGAATTTTCACTGCGCAACAATCATTATGATTCGCTGTGTTGAAGTCCCACGAATGGTGTGTTGTGGCACGAGTCCGGATCACCAATACGTAACCGTCAAGTTAACTCGTGGCGTTGAAGTCCCGAGAATCGTGTTCTGGCATGCTTTAGGATTTTCACACGGTTGTTCCCCACCAGGGCACTTCCCCTAGTAAATGGACATTTGTAGGGGCCCCTGAAGAGGAAACTTGGAAGGAGGGTGTCTTCTAACATCGTTGACATCTTGGGCTTACACTGACCCTCCTCCCTCCTTTTCTTCCTCGTCGGAATCCTCCCGCCACGCCGCCATATTTTTCCTCCTCCTCTTCCTTTTCCTCCTCCTCCTCCTCCTCTTCCCCTTCTCCTCCTCCCCCTCCTTCTCCTCGGTTCCTCCTACTCCTCGTCCTCCTCGTTCTCCTCCTCCTCCTCCTCCTCCTCTCCTCCTTCTCCTCCTCCTCCTCCTCCTCCTCCTTCTTTTCCTCCTCCTCCTGGCCAGCGGAAAGCGGAGAATAGCAACGAAGAGCGGGCAGTATAAGACGACGATATGCTTTCTTATCCACCTCAACGCGTTGAACTTTCACATGTACAGCAGGCGGCCGTTCGGAGGCCGCACCCAGGTTTACGCAGTCACCTCTCTGCCTGAGGCAGAATGGTGATGCAATGATGTATGACATGGGTGGTGCTGGAAATTCCGATCCTACTCGCCGTCACACTCGCTTCTGAGTGCTAGAAGGAATCCAGCACCTAGCATGACGCCTCCACTCAAGCGTGGGAAGCACTGCACAGGGATGATAAGGACGCGAAAGAATTGGCATACAATCGCTGCTGCTACAGTGGCTGCTGCACTACTCAGAATGCCGAAGTTAACCCGCAACGATGGGATGCGGCTGTCGACATCAACGTATATGGAAAGGAAAACTTCACGATGTACAAACATATTGTGCAGCTGGGATCCTGCATCTGCTGCTGCCGCTGTACCAACGACGCGGACCAAAGCAACAGCACACGCAGCGTGTGGCATGATCAAGGTCATGGCGTCACTCCACGGGCTACGTACTGGAGTGACCCGTTTAATCATCATCGGAGGAAGGTCTGCGACTGCAAATATGGGAAACCCCACGGTCAGACTGAGTTGGGCTAGTGTGCGGAGGACGGCAAGCGGTCCAATTCTGTCAGGAGCAGCGCCGCCTTGGTGGTTGCCTTGTCCCGGCCTGCGGTGGGCTGTATTTCGTTCTCCTCGAGAATTCCATTCAAGATCGTCGTCGTCACACCGGCACTCTTTGCAATCGCCTCGCAAAAGACGTCCTTTTTCTGTCGATAGCATGCAAAGCTCAATGGTCGGCACGATCTGCTGCACCAGCGTGGCCATTGCGTTCGTATGGCCACTGTCCGTCGCAAGCGCCGCGGGCTTTGGCATCTTCAGCTTCCGTGTGCCAGAGAGCGCCGCGCTGCCAGCACCACCAGCGCCTCCACTGTTCGCGGACATGCCCAGCATCTTCATGCACTGCTGCATCATCGTGGTCGTCTGGTGATCGTCCATGGTCTTACGCTGCTTTTTCAACGCACGCTTGAAAATGCACTGAACCTTCCAGTAGGTGTAGGATGAGCTGGAAGAGCTTGACTTCGACGATCCAGAAGTGCTCGTGGAGGTGTCCAAGTCTTGCTTTCGGAGTTGCCTGTTCGCCGTTGTGGCGAGCCGCAAAATTTGAGTTTGCTCCTGTCTTTTCCGTTGAAATGTCCTTCTTGTCCTTTATCTTGTCCTTTTTTTATTTTTATATATCTATTATATAGCATATATATATATATATATATATATATATATACACATATACACATATTTTTCTTGTTGGGCCCAATCATTGAATCATGTTGGCAACGGCCTTCCTCGCCTGATTTTTGATGGCCTGGAGCATCCCGAGGCGCTGCTCTTCCTCAACTTGTTAGCCTCCTTGGCTTAAAGTCGCGTTTGGACGCGCGACCACGCCGGCACAAACCCTTGCCGTGATTCTCGTCCACCGCCTTTGCCACTCTGCTGGTATCCTTGCTTCGGCGCTCGCTCGCCATTGCCAAGGCTTTCCCTGGTTCGCCATGTCTGCAACGTCGGAATCCACAAGATAGGAGAATATAGTGCTCGCTGGAAGCCAGCTCTGACTGAGAACTGTGGAGGAGGCCATGGTGATGATGAAAATGTAGGTGATGAGGCTTAAGAAGGATGTTGTATGGTCCTTTCTGTTGAACTTTCCCTGGCGTCCACATTTCGGCACTTCAAGACGCTCCTGTGTCTACACACGTATGGATATGGATTGAAGCATGCGGTGTAGATGAACATGGACTTGTGCATGTATGCATTGAAGCACGCCATGTACATGAACCGACGCTGCTTCAGGGGCTTTAAAGGTATCTGATGTCTGTCGGGCACAATTGTCTGGGGGACTGCAGTCTCGCTTCAAATGGAAAGCGTTGGGTCAAGGACTGCCGCTGCAATATCAAAGATGGTATAAACCAATTTGTGGGCGTAGCCACGCTCGAAACTTTCCGCTGGAAGCCGTGGAATAGTCCTCGAAAATCGGCCAATCCGGTTACCAAACATCTTGACCATCGAGAAGAACGGAAAGTGGATGCGGCGGGGAAGCATGCGGCACACCTTTGCGATGGTGCACATGGGCCACTCCAGGCGTAGAACTTCATTGACAACGTCGCAAAATGCTTCACGACCTCTCGCCACCTGTCCTTCAGCAGTGGTGTTGTAAGTGAAAACGCGCTAGTGGAGAAGGAGTCGAATGCAGGGGGAGCCGTAGGCGTGTGGGTGCGGAAAAGAACGCCGGGAACTTTGCAATGTTGGGTCGAGTGTCCACTCCCCGGGCATAGTCGGCATTGACGTTGAAGGGAATGCCTTCGAAATCCAAACCTTTGGGGGTGATGCGGGCTTGTAGGTAGGTGAGGGGAAGGTATTTATCTTCGCATGGCACGCCAACATCTCTCGGTCATAGGTTTCGCATACGTTCGTAAAGGCATGTTGAACAATATGTTCTGGACAACACAAGGGGATCGTTCACATACTTAGATAAGTCCTTGGAGTACGTCGTCCATGCTGTACTCGGGGATCTCGAGGTTGAGTTGCCGTGCTCGGGACGGTCGGGTGTACAGGTTGTGAATGTCTTACCCAAGGTCGGCGAGCGTGTCAACTTCAGACAAGCAGCCCCCCATGGGCCATCCCATGGCTCTACGGTAAACCGCGCAGCCCAGGATCAAGAAGCTGTCCTCGATGACGTATTTGAGTGCTTGTCGTATTTGGGAGAAGCGGAGTAACGTGTGCGTCCTCCTCCCTCCTCCCTCCTCCCTCCTCCCTCCTCTCTCTTCCCTCCTCCCTCCTCCTCCTCCCTCCTCCTCCCTCCCTCCCTCCCCTCCCTCCCTCCTCCTCCCTCCTCCCCCCTCCTCCTCTCCTCCCTCCTCCCTCCTCCCTCTCCCTCCTCCCTCCTCCCTCCTCCCTCCTCCCTCCTCCCTCCCTCCCTCCCTCCCTCCTCCCTCCCTCCCTCCCTCCTCTCCCTCCTCCCTCCTCTCCTCCTCCCTCCTCCCTCCTTCTCCAATCCTCCCTCCTCCTTCCTCTCCTCCCTCCCTCCCTCCCATCTCCGTCCGGCGGCGCCAGAGTTGGCCCCGCACCCCGTCGCCGCGGGGACCGCCGGGCAAGCGGGAAAGTCTAGTCTGCAAATTACGGGGAGGAGAAGGAGGAGGAGGAGGAGGAGGAGGAGGAGGAGGAGGAGGAGGAGGGGACGGTCGCGCAGAAGGCGCACTGGCACGGGCGGCCCGGCAGGGGAAGGGGAGGGAGGGGGAAGGGAAAGGGGGGCGGGGGGCGGCGGCGTCCGTCGGCGCGGGGGTGGTGGTCAAGCTGGTGGTGGCCGTGGTGGTCGTGGCGGTCGTGCTGGTGGTGGTCGTCGTGGTGGTCGTGGTGTTGGTGGTCGTGGTGTCTGGTCGGTGTGGTCGGTTTGCTGGTGGTGCTGGTCGTGCTGGGTGGTGGGTCTGCTGGTGGCCAGTCTGCTGGCGGGGCTGGAGGTGGTCTGCTGGCGGTGGTCGCTGGCGGCCGTGCTGGTGGCTGGTCTACTGGTGGAGCCGGAGAGCCTGCTGGTAGAGCAGGTGGTGGACGTGCTGGTGGTCGTGGTCTTCGTGGTGGTTAGCAGCTAGCCGTTCTGGCGTTGGTCGCGCTGGTGGCGGTCGTGGCGGACTACTGCCCGAGGGCGCTCAACACCATCTCGGCGTTCCCCTTGTGAAGGATCACCGAAATATCCCGCCACAGGCGGCCGAGGAGTTCCCCCCGCGCGTCTTCCCCGAGGTCGGCGCCGTAGCTGCGCACGAAGGCCGCCGCCTCCTCGGAGGGCCGCCCCCCGGCCTCGAAAACCATGGGGACCAGCTCGAGGCCCTGCCGCGGAGGATACCGATCCCTCTTGCTGTCGACCTCTTGGGCCGCTGCCAGGCCGCTCCTGTGGGACCGGGCCTGCCTGCGCGGGGCATAGGTTGAGTGTGCGCAGGTCACGGCCCAGTCCACAAAGATGTGGCGCCCGGTGTTGTGGTCGACGGTGGCCACGTCGAGCTTGGCCTCTTCGAGGCGGCCATTGGGGAGGCGACGATCCCACCCGGGCACGCGTTGCTCGGTGGGGGCAGCGTATCCAATGAGCGCTGAATGTCGCTTGGAGTGCCAGTCCCGCAGCCGGCTGTGTCGGTCGTTCCGAGACTCCCCCACTTCGCACTTCCTGGTGTGCCACCCTTTCCGATCGAGCGGCTTGTTGCAGAGCTGCCCAGTGGTCTTGTTCTTGTGTTGGCACACGGCCCCCTCAGGGCAAACGGGCATGTCCAGCCGCATCTTCAGGTTCGTGAGGAAGTGTTTGTCTGGCTGCGCGGCGTCGCCGGCGTGTCGGGGCAGCAGGAAGGACCCCGCCCCCGTTCCTCCGGCCGAGCGTAGCGAGAGGCGGCCGTCCTCGTCCAGCAGCGTGTCCAGGAGTCGCTTCTTGCTGGCCTCCGAGGCGGCTTTCCCCCAGTGCCCCTGCCGCTTGTGCTGCGGCTCCCGCATGTAATCCAGCAGGTCAAGCGATTCTTCTCCGAGCGCGCCAGCGCCCCGGAGCGCCTGCTCCGCTTGGGCGAAGGCTTGGAGGGTGCGCGGGCAGCGGGCGCGAAGCTCTTCCAGGGTGCTGACCCCCAGGCAGGTGGCCACGTCGTGCAGGCATCCCTCCCTCCCTCCCTCCCTCCCTCCCTCCCTCCCTCCCTCCCTCCTCCCTCCCTCCTCCTCCTCCTCCTCCTCCTCCTCCCTCCTCCTCCTCCTCCTCCTCCTCCTCCTCCTCCTCCTCCTCCTCCTCCTCCTCCTCCATCTCGTCGTCCCATCGCGGCCCGCGGCCTCGTCCCGCGGGCCCACCCTGCGCGAGAGCGCGCGGGCGCCCCAGATGCCCGGGCCCGTGGCGGCCGGGGCGTCCGCGGCGGCCATCGCGTCGAAGGCTTCCTGTAGCTCGCCGGCCACCAGCTTCTGCTCCAGCAGCGCCAGGACGCGGGCCTCGACCTCCAGCCGCTTGCGGGGCGGTGCCGCGGGCGCTGCGCCCGCGCTGCCCGCGTCGGCCGCAGGAGCCGCGCCCGCCAAGCCAGCACTGGCCTCCGTCTCCGAAGGCCTGTCAGCAGGGGAGCGGGCAGTGTCAGCTGGCTGCGCGGGCTCGGGCGGAGCCGCGGGCGCTGCGCAGCCAGCCACCAGCGCCGCGCCGTCCGAGCCAGCACGGTACTTCACGTCAGGGCAGCTGGCAGCGGCAGCTGGCTGAGGCTGTGCAGGCTCGGGTGGTGCCGCAGGCACTACGCCCGCGCTGCCCGCGCCAGCCGCAAGCGCCGCGCCGGCCACGCTGGCACTAGCCTCCGCTTCCGAGCGCCTGGAGCAAACGTCGGCAGGCGGCTGCGCCAGGTCGGGCGGTGTTGTGGGCGCTACGCCCGTGCTGGCCTCCGCTTCCGAGCGCCTGGCCGAGCAGCAGGCCTCGGCAGGCGGCTGCGCGGGCTCGGGCTGGGCCGCGGGCGCTGCGCCCCTGGCCGCCAACGTCGCGCCAGCCGAGCCACCACAGGAATCCGCGTCGGGGGAGCAGGCCTCGGCAACTGGCTGCGCTGGCCCAGGCGGTGCCGCAAGCGTTGCGCCTACGCTGCTCGCGCCGGCCGTCGGCGCCGCGCCGACCAGGCCAGCACAGGACTCCGCCTCGGCAACCGGCTGCGTCAGCGCTACGCCCGCGCTGCCCGCGCTAGCCGCACGCACCGCGCCAGCCAGGCTGGCACTAGCCTCCGCTTCCGAGCGTATGGAACAAGCGTCGGCAGGCGGCTGCGCGAGGTCGGGCGGGGCTGCAGGCGCTGCGCCCGTGCTGCCCGCGTCAGCCGCCGACGCCGCGCTGGCCAGGCCGGCACCGGCCTCCGCCTCTGCACGGGAGCCGGCAGCGGCAGCTGGCTGCGCTAGGGGCGGTGCTACGAGCGCTACGCCCGAACTGGCCTCCTCCTCCGAGCGCCTGCTTGAGCACGCCTCGGCAGGCGGCTGCGCGGGCTCGGGCTGGGCCGCGGGCGCTGCGCCCCTGGCCGCCAACGTCGCGCCAACCGAGCCACCACAGGAATCCGCGTCGGGGGAGCAGGCCTCGGCAACTGGCTGCGCTGGCCCAGGCGGTGCCGCAAGCGTTGCGCCTACGCTGCCCGCGCCGGCCGTCGGCGCCGCGCCGACCAGGCCAGCACAGGACTCCGCCTCGGCAACCGGCTGCGTCAGCGCTACGCCCGCGCTGCCCGCGCTAGCCGCACGCACCGCGCCAGCCAGGCTGGCACTGGCCTCCGCTTCCGAGCGCATGGAACAAGCGTCGGCAGGCGGCTGCGCGAGGTCGGGCGGGGCTGCAGGCGCTGCGCCCGCGCAACCCGCGTCAGCCGCAAACGCCGCGCCAGCCAGGCCAGCACCAGCCTCCGCCTCTGCACGGGAGCCAGCAGCGGCAGCTGGCTGCGCTAGGGGCGGTGCTACGGGCGCTACGCCCGTGCTGGCCTCCTCCTCCGAGCGCCTGCTTGAGCACGCCTCGGCAGGCGGCTGCGCGGGCTCGGGCTGGGCCGCGGGCGCTGCGCCCCTGGCCGCCAGCGTCGCGCCAGCCGAGCCACCACAGGAATCCGCGTCGGGGGAGCAGGCCTCGGCAACTGGCTGCGCTGGCCCAGGCGGTGCCGCAAGCGTTGCGCCTACGCTGCCCGCGCCGGCCGCCGGCGCCGCGCCGGCCAATCCGGCACAGGACTCCGCCTCGGCAGCTGGCTGCGTGGGCTCGGGCGGGGCCGCGGGCGCCACGCCCGCGCCGCCCGTGCAGGCCGCCGTCGCCGCGGCAACGGCTGGGCTGGCGCGTGCCTCCGATGTCGGGTGCCCCGTCCGTTCGGCGGCGGACGCCGCCTCGTCTGCGGCGAGGGTCGCGCGCAGGTTGCCCGACTGCAGCCTCTGCTCCAGCAGCCGCCGGAAGGTCGCGCGGAACCTCTCCGTGTCCGCCACGCCGTGAGGCGCCGAAGCGCTCATGATGCGCCCCTCCTGCGCCGCCCTCTGCTGCAGCTCGCTCAGCTCCTCGAACCTCCTGGTGGCTTCGTCCGCCCTGGCTCTCTGCCTCTCGGCCTCCTGCTTGAGCCCCTCCGCCACGGCCTTGCACATCTCGTGCCGCTGCGTCACCGCCTCGACCTCCGCCCGCGCCGCCCGCAGCTCGGCATCGTCCGCGGCGGCGCGGTTAGCCGAGGCGCCGTCCACCGAGTCGAGCTCCACGAGGCTCGCCGAGGCGGCCGCGACGCTCGGGGCGGGCGCCAGTGCGGCGCACAGCGCCTCCGGCCCCGCCGCCAGCCCCTCCGCCAGCAGCTCCCTGCAACGGGCCCTCGCTGCCGCAGCCTCGGCCCATGGGCGCCCGGGCTCCGCGGCCGGCTCCTCCGCCCCCTCCTCGCCAGGCCCGGCCTGCTGCTCCAGCTGCTCCCGCAGGCGGGCCTTCGCCCCTGGCGACGCGGTCCGCCCCACGGCGGCGCCGCGGGGCGGCTCGGCCTCGGCGGCGCTCGCCGAGGCGCGCTCCGCCGGAGGCCTCTGCAGCAGCTCCTCGAGCTCCTCGGCCCTCCTGGCGGCGGCGTCCGCCCTGGCCCGCTGCTCCGCCGCCTCCCGCCGGAGGTGCTCCGCCTCGGACCTCAGGGCCTGCTCTCTGGGCCCTTGCTCTGCCGCCTCCTGCCTGAGGCGCGCCGCCTCGGACTTCAAGGCAGCTTCCTCCTGGAGGTGGGCCTCGGCCATCCGCTGGACCTCCAGAGGGAACACAAACAGGCATGACCGTTCGAGGTCCGCGTGGACTTCTCTCGGATCGGCGCTGGATGCCCCTCCCTGCCGCGCGGAGCGCGCCAGGGGCGGCGCCGGAGGAGCCGCCATGAGGGTCCAGTGCCTATCCAGAAGGTTTGCGCGGACCTCAGAAAATCCGTGTAGATGGGGCGAGGAAGAATGCCAAGGGCTGTCTGATAGTGTTTCTGATCTTTTACTCTAATGCGAGACCTAGAAGGGATTCCTCCCCCGCTGGGCCGCGTCTCCCCGCATGCACCGCCCCCCCTCCCAAGGCCACGATCCCCAATACAAAGCGATGGAGCCGCGCCCCCGAGGCCACGATCCTTCGCTAAAGACAATGGATCTGCGTCCCGAACTTCCACGACGGCCCATGCAGGCAGCTAACGACACCAAGATGGCCCAAGATGCCCCGACGACGGCTCCAGCTGGCCCCAAGGCGGCCGAATATGGCTACAAGGCGGCCCAAGATGCCTCCAAGAGGGCCGTAAAGGGCCACGCGAGGATCTCCAACAGGGTCCTTTGTTTTGTTCCACAAGCAGTGCTTGCACTTAGAACCTGGAGTAAGCACCTGGCCGTTCGGATCAGTCTGGCGGCTATGTCGTCGCCGTTGCCGCCCCGTCGCCACCTCGTCGCCGCCCGTCGTCTGGGCCCGGGCTTCGGTCTGGCAGCTACATCGTTGCCGTCGCCGCCCAGTCGCCGCCTCGTCGCCGCCCGTCGTCTGAGCCTGCATTGCTTCACAGTGTTCTGCATTGCTTTGCCTTGCTATGCCATGCTTTGCATTGCATTGCGTTGATCTGCATCGATTTGAACTACTTTGCATTGCCATGCCGTGCTTTGCACTGCTTGGCTGCGTTGCTTGGTTTTGATGTGCATTATTTTGCATTGCTATGCTGTGTTTAGCATTGCTTGGCATTGCCTTGCATTGCCTTTAACTACTCGCATTGCTTCACGTTGCTTTGTCCTAGTTTAATTGCTTCATTGCTTTGCGTTGATTCGCATTGCGTTGTACTACTTCCTTTACGCTGTCGCGCATGGCTTCATATCAATTTGCATTGTTCTGCATTGCGTTGCCTGGCTCTGCATTGCTCTTTGCGCTGCATTGCTTTGCATTGCGCTGCAGTGCCTTGCGCTGCGTCGCGTTGCTTTGTTTTGCTCTGCGTTGCTTTGCATTGCCACGCAGTGCTTTGCATTGTTTGCATTGCTTTGCATTGCATTGCGTTGCGTTGTTTTGCTCTACTCCCTCATTTTCTTCCTTCTCCTTCCCCCTCCTCGGGGCACCCAACATGATTCGAAAACATTTGGATCATGTTGGGCGCCCTGGCGATCGACGCTGAATTCTCCTCGTTTGTGATGTGTGTGTGATGTATGCTGCTGGGTGTGTGTTGTGCAAAAGTTGTTGCTGCTGTTGTGCGCCGCATGGGTTGCAACACTTGGCTTGCAGCGCACTTTCTGCGCCACCTACATTGCACGGCATAGGTTTCAAGAAATCCCCGTTTGGGATCCATGCTGGCTAATATTGAATGGGTTTCGCATTCTCGCAGTTTCGGGCTTCCGTCAGCTCAAAATGCCCAAGGAGCCTACACAATGGCCCCAAGACTGCCCAAGAGGCCACCAAAATGGTCCCAAGATGGCCCCAGAGGACCCCACGATGGCCCAAAAGGCATCCAAGACGGCCCCAAGGGGCACAAGCGGGCCTCCCGTGGATCCCAAGAATGACTTCGAAGCCCCTTCGACGGCCCAAGGCGGCGCCAAGACGACCCCACGACAGCCCCAGACAGCCACCATACGGACAACACGGCCCAAGACGGCCCAAGAGAGCCCTAAAAAGGCCCAAGAGGGCCCAAAAGGACCCCCAAGAATGCCTCACAGGAGACCAAGGCAGCCCCAAGACGGCCCAAATGAGATCCATAAGAGCTCCGAAAACAGTAAAGCCCAAATGTGCCACATGTGACGCTCTTCCTCTTCCTCTTCCTTTTCATCATGCTCCTCCTCCTCCTCCTCCTCTTCCTCCTCCTTCACATCCTCCTCTTCCTTCTCCTCCTCGTTATCGTCTTCATCATCATCATCATCATCATCATCATCATCATCATCATCATCATCATCATCATCAGCATCATCATCATCATCATCATCATCATCATCATCATCATCAGCACCACCATCACCATCATCATCAGCATCACCATCAGCACCACCACCACCATGATCATCAGCATCGTTATTATTACTATTATTATTGTTATTATTCTTATTGTTATTATTATTATTATCATTATTATTAATAATATTATTATTAGTAGTATTATTATTATTATTAATATTATCATCAGCAGCATCATCACCATCTACAGCAACAGTAGCAGCAACAGCAAAGCTGCATCACCCCCACCGTCCTCATAATCTCATTTCCCATGATCCACATCACGGCTCTCCCAAGTCTGGAGACACGAGGTGACCCACGCGACGGTCTCCCGTGCTCCCTCGAACGGTCGCCGCCGCAAATGTTGGGCTGGCACTGCGGCGGGAATCGTCGCAGGCAGCTGGTTACTTGCCACAAGAAAAAGAAGAGGGACGGGCAACCCTAGGCCGCCAGGTCCGGCAGATGGTCTGGCAGCCGTTTCGCCCGAGCCTTCCTCGCAGTGTATTGAGCAACTGTGATCTCGCATCATTGCTGCCTACATGTTTGGTTCAGGCGGCCACGGTCCCATGTAAAACGTACACTGCGGCACACATGGCTCCACAACGTATTTCGAAATCGTGCTCTCGCTTGCTACACGCATTGCCTGGACGGCCACGACCTTTTCTAAAATATACCAAGGACAACCAATGCGTAAAACTCGCGATAGCTGCCCCCTCCCAGCCGAGGCCGCAGCCGCGGTCGCGGCTGAAGGACGAACACCACTGCGACACAGTCGCAAGAGCTTCCCCCTCCGAGCCGCGGCCGCAGCCGCGGCCGCGAGTGCAGCCGCGGCCGCCGCGGCGGCTGGAAAAAAGAAAACCAGCGCGACAGAAATTGTCCCCGCCCAGCCGCGAACCGCAGCCGCAGCCGCGACCGCAACCGCGGCCGCGGCTGGAAGAGGAAAACCACCGCGAGCAGTTCAGTTCAGTTCACTATGGAGGCAGGTGTCAATGCCACCCGCCCCGAGCAACAAACGCAGCTTAGGACGCGATGCCTTGATCAGCCTCCGCTGGCAAAATCAAGGCATATCTTGAGAGGAGCTGAACAGGGGTCCACTTCTCCTCCCAAAGGCTATCCACAAGTTCACACGCCTCAGGCTCAGCCCCCCCTGAAGACTGGACCCCTTTGTGCGACGCACGGACCAGGGGCACAAGATCCAAGGGAGTGGGCGACCGGTGGCCTGTGACCGACCACCCTTTGTACTGCCGAGCCCAGCTAGGAAACTCTCCTTTAGCAAACCTCGTCCTCTGTCGCCTGAGGTCCTTAGTGGGGGGGTGGCCAGGGCATCTATTGGCAAGCGAGGCCACACCAGCCCACGCATAGCCTCCACATCTAATGCAAGACACCACCCGCCCGCTCCCCGCCGCCCGACTCCCGTCCCCCACGAAGACCTTTGCCTTGCAAAGGTTGTGCCCCTGGAGGCGGGCGAGCAAGGTCAGCTCAGACAACTGCTCAGGACTGCCAGGCCCATCAGCCCCTGTGTCAGTGAAAATCGGCACTCGAAAATCGACTCGAGGCTTCCAGATCGCAGAAATCTGATGCAATGACCTGGCATAACTCCGAATTTGGCCATTCTTATCAAGGATGGGAGGATCGCGTTCCGTGTGCTCAGCCTCAACGGGCCCAGGGAAACCAGACGCGTCCACCCAACCTCTATCAGCCATGATCACATCCTGAATGGCACCCCATCGTACGATCTCTTCCTGGACCGCACGGCAGGCGTCGAGGGCCTGAATCATCATCTCGGGCATGGGGTGCATTCCTGCACCTAGCCTGGCAAAACTATCAGCATGCTTATTACCGAGCCTATCTAAGTTACTGCACACCCCATTCAGAACGTCAGCCATAGTGGCATGACCTTTGACTTTCCTGGCCCTCAGGCCATCCTCAAAAACGTGCCAAACAAAGCTCCAGAGGTGGGCCCTGGAATTCTGGGACGAGCAACTCTTGGCCCTATCCCAGACACGCCCGAGGGTCCCTGAACAGTCGGTGCAAATCTCCAAATCGGAAAACGGGTCCACAAGCTCAGCCGCCATCCTGTAGGCATAGTCTTCACCATCCCTAGCCTGCTGGCTAGGCGCTACCTCCCTGGGTACGGGCCCAAAGGCAGCGCACAAAACATCCCCTTGGTCGTTCACCTGCACGAGGCCCCACCCCGCACGTCTCTTGAACTCGCAGGTGGGATGGGCCGCGGACCCGTCAGAGTAAATCAAACCCTGGAGTTTACCTGAGGCCGGCTTGTTGAACCAACAAACAGAACATCTATCTCTACCTAGGGCCTGCTGGATCAGTTCTTTGGGAAAGGGTAGCACACCAGCAGCGAACTTTTCCAGATCCTGATGCATGTCACGGGCGTGGCGAGCGGCCTGCATGCACTGCGTCGAAAGACGCATGCCTCTGTCCTCCAGGAAAGCCTCACGACAGAAGCGCCTGTGGTATAGAGTTCCTCGCTCGGCGCGGCAAAGCTGGCAGAGGTCCTCATCGGCTAACCCGTGATCCTTAAGGCGGGCCTGCGTCCAGGTACCCAGGGAAAAGGTGTTTCTGGCGCAAGCCTGGTGGTGCTTAGTCCAGGTACCCGAGGTTTTTCCTGAGATCAGGCTCCTGGCCCCCTCCCAATACACAGGCCGACGCCAGACAGAACTACACTTCGGTCTTTTCATGAGAGCCCTTTTGTCTGCCCAGTGTCCTGCATCACGCTCCGCGAGCATTCTGACGGCCAGCGGTGAGAGCTCAAGCAGGTCGATCATACCCCCGTCGCAGAGTTGGATCTTTCTTGCCGAGAGCGGTCTCC